CAAGTAGCTATTTATATCTACACGTATAGATTAATATTAATATTGCAACAGTGAAGGTTCCAAATTTTGTTCCTATACTACTAGTGCACTGCATTTATGCAATGTAAATTAATTTGTGATAAAGTTTTCTACAATTTGCCTATCAAGATACAACTTGAAAAGAATCTTTTATATCAGCCAAATTTTGGCTGAAGCTTATGTAACCACGTAAGCCAAATCTAAACCATGGCATTATAAATTTGAGTGAATCAAGTTCCTTACAAAAGTTTCTATCGAAGACCACATAAGATGCACCTTCCATCAAGGACAAGCTATCTCACCACTTGTCATCAAGAAAATATATATCAAAGATAATGAGCAGTAAAATCATTACAAGGCAACAAACAGAAAGGGTAAAGAAGTCATCATATAATACACCCTCTATCTCATTTTACATGTGATGGACAACTGCACACAGTTACAGTCTGGCCCATATCCACAGACAATTAATTCCCCTTAAGTGCCATCAAACACTAAAATAGTTCAGTAGAGTTTATTCATGTACTACTTCTGGATACCACAGCAAATAGTGTAAAAGGGATAAAATGGCAAAGTAGTTGTGTTTCTTTGACTTTTCAAACCAAGACAAACACTTTAGGGCATATGGAAATAGTAACCATGATAAATAGCGAAAACTGACAAAATCACTCCAAAAATAGTTCCATATCCACAGACAATTAATTCCCCTTAAGTGCCATCAAACACTAAAATAGTTCGGTAGAGTTTATTCATGCACTACTTCTGGATACCACAGCAAATAGTGTAAAAGGGATAAGATGGCAAAGTAGTTGTGTTTCTTTGACTTTTCAAACCAAGACAAGCACTTTAGGGCATATGGAAATAGTAACCATGATAAATAGCGAAAACTGATAAAATCACTCCAAAAATACATTCTTTGAGTGCTGAGATAGCTCTTTTCTCAAGAAAAGATGGAGAAAAGAAGGAAATTTTAAAAATGAATTTATCAGTTTGTCAAAAAATTTGTATTGTAGGGAGTAATCTTGAAAACTATTTCTTCTCTTACAAGGTCTCTTATTTATAACAATATTTCAAGTAAAATATCTAAGTAGATCCTAAATGTAAACTAAGTTAATTAAACCATATGCCATAGAATAAGAGATTAAATCAACTAGCCAGCCAAGCAAAATTCAGGAACATTGGTGTGAATGACCCAGATATCTTTATCATACACACACGGTATAATTATTAAGCAATCTAATACAAAATATAAGTACAGTCATGAGATCCTATCCATCTACCTCACCAGTCTATGGTCAGTCTAAAATGAGCCTGACTCAAGATTGAGACCAAATACAGCTTTCAGACCAAGAAGACCAAATACAGCTTTCAGACTCAACTAGCTAGCCAAGCAAAATTCAGGAACATTGGCATGAATGAACCAGATGTATTTATCATACACACAGTATCATTATTAAGCAATCTAATGCAAAATATAAGTACAGTCATGAGATCCTATCCATCTACCTCACCAATCTATGGTCAGTTGAAAATGAGTCTGACTCAAGATTGAGACTAAATATAGCTTTCAGACTAAAAGGAACTTGATAACTATGCTCAATCCTGCTATTAAACAACCTGAATCATTAACATTAAACTTCTTAAAAGGATTAACACAATTAACTGATTGTTTGTTAGGGAAGCTTGAATAAGAACACGAATTTCTGCAAGAAGAGATGCTTTGGGCAGGTCAAGTTGCAGCTCATATTAAGTGAGATCTATCTCTTTACTTCTAATAAAAAAACACCATATACATCTTTTCTAGCTATAATTACAGTGTGAAGTGATAAAAAGGGATATATTAATGCTTTTGATCATTGCAGAGTTCAAGAGTTACACCAGTTTGCCCAAAATAGTTTCCTTAGTGAAGAGCTAGAATCTATCATCCACTACCACCTATTATTTATATAGACTTATAATTCTTATCGAATGAATTTACTTTGCAGAAAGAAAGATGTTCAAATCAATATATCTGCTATTCATGTAGGTTCAATATATCTGCTATTCATGTAGGAAAGTACACCATCGTAACAAGAAAAAGAAAATGATTCACTAGCAAGTTAGGGTTTTTTTAAGCATAAACCAGCTGAAGTCATTTAATACTCAATTGTGAAATAGTATGCTTCCATTTATACCATATAGATACAGGTGCTGAAGTTCTACATGGTTCAAGTGGTCAACACCAAATTAACTTGTCCTCTTCTAGATAGTAAACTCATTGGAAACTCACATGCGATAGAGTCAATGTAGAGCATCTTAATGGATGGAACTGAACTTGATGTTCAAGTTCCCTTGCTGAGAGAATATATATACAGCAAGATCTCCAGGATCCAAATGCAAAACACTATTTTCTACTCTGTTTAACTGCACAATCCATTCAAGCTAAAAAACATATATACTAGGGAACAGAAGGACTGGAACTAGACACATCATACCCTGAATGGACTATTACAAGCAATATTGGCAAATAAATAAATCAAATGTTGAAAACGCCACTTCACAATGAAAAGTTCAACAATAACAGTATTTCGATTTCATTAAGTGGCTACAGCAAATAACAACGAAGCATTTGTAGAAATATCCTACACTAGTCTACATTATAAAACGATCTCCTGGTTCCTCTTTCAGACATATAAATCCAAAATTCAGCATGTCACCCTTCTTAGCATAATCAAAATTAAGGATATATCCTTCACAAACTGAACATAGCGTAATATCTCAAGAAGAAAAACAACAAACCAGAATATCACATTCGACATTTTTCACATTCAACAAATTTTTTTCCAAACAATTCGATCCTTGCTAGCATTAAACATTATTCAACAATATGTAATCTAATTGACACGTATTTGATGCAACCAAGCCAAGTTTCTAGTCTTCAAGTTCATGACCCAAACTTATAGGCATTAGTGCTGGTCTCACCTCCCTCTTTCATTTTCTTAGAAAGAGTGGGGAGGTATAGTTTATTTTGTAATTACTTACTGGGGCAAATGATGCAGACTCTGGAATATGTAAGCACATTTTACTACTTTTCTAATTTCACGATGAGCTTCAAGTAGTCTTCTAGTCTTCCCAAAATCAACTTTTTTGCACAAAATGCATAATACCTACAGCTCTATAATTTTAGAGATACAACTTAAATCATGCCCTTACTTGCGGCATAAACAAATTCATAACTTGAACATTCTCGCTGTAAACATACTATAAACTCTAACCAGGATATTGCTCAGTATTATGGTAGTTTTTTTGATCAGTGGATGGTAATTTATAGCCCAGCAGCACTTCTATAGACGTCTGTCTGCCAAAGGACAAGAACCTCATTTTTATTAACAAATCATTGTTGTGCAGCAATAGAACACAAGGAATCCTGCCTCTTGCTAAACATTCTAACACCTTACACAGCCAAAGGACCAACCAAATTCTTGAAAGACCTATCAGGAGTTTCAAATTCTATTTATATGTAGTCTCGTTCTTGCAAAATCAAACACTTAACAATCAACAACCTCATACTAATATTGAGAACCTCTAACATCAATCTTCTGCTACCACCGCCCATATAATGAGGTCATCCGACACTTTTCTTAATTAAAACAATTCAAGCAGATCATGTCCACCTGCTAAAAGACAGCAATCATTTTTTACAACCACAAGTAGCTACATGGAAAAGTACTGATTAACACTCTTATAATTCATCAAGAAAGCCTGTAGCTTTTAATAACTAATTCTACTCAACCAACAACATCCTCCATTCATTGATCTGGATTCTGATCTATCAATTATTATTTCATTGTCTAAATAGCAATGCAGTAGCTTATCAACTACCACACCAATAAATTCGGCTATTTTCATCCAATTGGCATTCATTTCCCCTAGTTAAAGATCAGAATCAATTCCAAAATCCCAAATCATATCAACACAAATCCAAAGTGAATATTGAATAACTCTCAAAAAGAAGATTGCAAATTTCAATACCTTCCATCAACCATGGCATCAAAAGTGAAGGAAACCAAGTGGCAATCTCTGTTCCCCTCATCCACTTCAAGCTTTATAGTATCCTTATGAACGTTCACATCATTCTTGATCTTCTTAGCACTCTGGTGATCCACGTACGGCACCGGAGCAGGCGGCGGAGGCTGCAGGTGCGGCGAGGGTGCCAGCAGCATCGCGGCCTGCGGCGGCCGGAACCACCCACTTCCTTGGCCTCCTACATAGTAAGGATTATGGTAATTAGACTGAGCCCCCATCATATTAACGGGGGGTCTCGAGTAATTGGAATAGTTGTAACTATAGTTGGTGTAATAGGGAGCAGAGGTGGAGGGGTGATAAGGTGGTGGAGGCGGCGGCGGAGGAGGCGCGGTCACCGGCGGATGGAGGGCGGGATATGGGGCATTGGCAGCAAAAGCATAGGTTGATGGTGGGGAGGAAGAAGAAAGCGGTTGTTGTTGGGTTGGTTGGGGTTGCGGTTGTGCCGGCGGTGGTGGCGGGTGCTGAAAGCGGTGGTGGTGGTGGTGGTGGGGATGATTTTGCTGCCTTTTACTCAAAATTTGGCCCATTTTTTTTAATCTTTCTATTTGTTTTACAATCGCTTATCAGAAAAAATTGAAGAAATTATAGAAGAAATCTTGGGGGACAATTGGATGCTTTGCTGCTGCTGGGGATGAAGAAAAGAATTAAGAAGTAGCGGGTTTTGAACGGTAGTAATTATGGTATTTTATTTTTCTTAAATCTTAGAAAAGAAAAAGAAAGATCAAAGTGGGGAGTGGGGCCTACACGCTGTTGGCTGATTTTAAGTCAATGGGGACACAATGAGCTCTATAATTTTATATTTAGAAACTTTCCTCCACTAATTAATTTTTTGTTTACTAGGTCAAGAATTAAGGCTATAGGGTTTTTTTTTTTTTTTTTTCCAAACGATAGAAACTTTTCATTACTTCATCAAAGGATTACAAAACTGGAGCAAAGGCTCCTACATCATTTTTGGCTAAATTACTTAGCCAAACTGGAAAAGAATCAACCCAAGCTATCTCAGACACTAGATTTAAGGCAAATTTTGCCAAATGGTGTGCCACACAATTCCCTTCCCTCTTAATAAAAGAGAAGATACAGGACCCAAAACCCTTACTAAGAACCTTAATGTCAAAGAGGACAGCTCCTGCCAGATGATCATTTAAGCTCCCCTCTCTGATTTGATCAATAATTCCCCTGCAATCAGATTGGATAATAATGTTCATCCATCCATTACTCTGGACAAACATGAGAGCTTGTCGTATTGCCGTAGCTTCTTCAACAGCAGGAACTCCCTTCCTACCTTCACAACCAGCCCAAGCACCCCTTAATTCCCCTTTGCTACATCTAGCCACAACTCCCCAACCTACCTTTGCTGCTGTCTGTTTAATTGCTGCATCAGTATTTAAACATAGAAAATCCCCTGAAGGTGGTTCCCCTCTAACCATCTTGTTTTCTTTTTCCTTCCCTACTGCCTCCTCGTCCCTTACTGCTAAATTTGCCATCTGGAATTCTAGCCACTCTTGTACCGCCTTGTTAGCTATCACACCTGGACATCTCCCTTCCCTATTGAACTGTATCTGGTTCCTGGATTTCCATATCTGCCAAAGTACATTAATAGTCAGCTCAACATGCTCCCTACCCTCCTTCCTAGCCTTTGCTTCCATCAAACCACTCCACCACTGCCAAAAATTATGTCTACAAGCCTTCAAACCATCCCAGTTAATTGGGGCAGCTTTCCATATAAGCTCAGCATGCTCACAGAAGAAAAACATATGCTCCATAGTTTCTGTCCCTTCTCCACAACAACAGCACCTATCATTCCCTTGTCCAGTTCTCCTCCTAATTGTTTCATTAACTGGCAATATGCGTTGAAGACACTTCCAAATAAAATGCTTTAGCTTATGCTTAACGTTCAGGCTCCATAGGAACTTCCACACCCCTGATCTGGCTTCATTCCTGCTGCTGCCTTCCTGTTGGAGAAATTCCTTTCTACCTTTGGCCTGAATCTCTTTTGCCACCACATACCCTGACTTCACTGTGTACTCTCCTGATTTAGTCATTATCCAAACTAGCCTATCCTTGGCACCCAAAGCGCTTATTGGAATATTAAGTATTCTTTGACAATCCTCTTCCTCAAACAGGTTCCTCAACAATCCCTTATTCCACCTACCCTCAGAAATCAGCTCATGAACTTTTTGTATATTACAATGTTGAGGCTTTTTTGACCTTATTTTTCCATCCTCCACATCTAGCAGCCACTTATCTTCCCATATCCTAATCTGCTGACCATTTCCCACTTTTTTACGTACCCCTTCTGCCAGTACCTCCCTAGAGCCTAAAATACTTTTCCATATCCAGGAATCCCCTGCATGGATTTTCATAGTCCAGATGGACGATCCTCTAAAGTACTTGCCCCTAATAATCTTACTAACTAACAGGTTAGGCCTTGTCAAGAATCTCCACAGCTGCTTAGCAAGCATAGCATTGTTAAACTGTTGGAGGTCCCTAAAGCCCAACCCCCCTTTCCCTTTTAGCTCAGACAGCCTCCTCCACTCCATCCAATGTATTTTCCTGTTTTCCTCCCTATCTCCCCACCAGAATTTTGCCATTTCTTTACAAATATCACTGCATAGGCCTTTTGGCAGTTTGCAACAACTCATAGCATATGCAGGTAAAGCCAAAATCACAGATTTTAGCAGTACCTCCTTACCAGCATTACTCAGCAGCCTCTCCTTCCATCCTCCCAACCTGTTGATGGCCCTCTCCCTGATGTAGTCAAAGACTTGTCTCTTTGGTCTTCCAATAACCAGTGGCAAGCCTAGATACTTACTCTGCTTAGCCTCCTTCATACCTCCCAAAATATTCAACACTTCACCCTTAACTGAGTTCCCAGTATTCTTGCTAAAGAACACTGAGGACTTTTCAGCATTGATGGCTTGTCCTGAAGCTACTCCATACAACTGCAACAGCTGCATCACATGACCAGCCTCTTCTTTATTAGCTCTGCAAAACACCAATGTATCATCTGCAAAAAAGAGGTGAGACAAAGCTGGGCTCTGCTTAGCAATTTTGAGTCCAGAAAGGTCATGGTTAGACATAGCTCTCTTAAACAAACCTGACAATCCCTCAGATACAAGTAAAAAAAGGTAAGGAGACAGGGGGTCCCCTTGCCAAATCCCTCTTGTAGGTGTAACCAAGCCTCTCTTTTCCCCATTCAAATTAAACGAGTAGACAACAAAAGACATACACTTCCAAATCCAATTTCTCCACTTCTGACAGAAACCCATTTTTTCCATAATTTTTAGCACAAAAAGCCACTCTACTCTATCATAGGCTTTGGCCATATCAAGCTTCAAAGCCATGAAAGCATTTGATCCACATCTTCTGTTATTCAAACAATGGATGAATTCATGTGCAATAACAACATTATCAATGATCTGTCTACCTGGAATAAAAGCTGACTGGTTTTGACTAACACAGTGTTTCAGGAATGGTTTAAGTCTATTGACCAAGATTTTAGAAATTATCCTATAAACCACATTACACAAGCTAATAGGCCTAAACTGGGAAACAGACACTGGAGACTCAACTTTAGGAATCAGAGTGATGATGGTAGTAAAGAGTCCCTGGTAGTACCTATTGATTTCCTCCTCAATATCTGGCTCAGAGACACACCAAGATCCATCTCCTCTTTGCAAACTAGAAATATTATTCCTTCTCCTTCTCTCAGCAACACTAGCATGAAAAATTTTTGTATTTTTGTCACCATCCTGCAACCATTTCACTCTGGCTTTCTGCTGCCAGAACACCTCCTCTCTCCTATAAGCCTCCTCCAGCTTCTTTTTAAGCTCCCTCACCCTCCCCTCTTTATTAGCTTGGCCATCTACCTTGGCTTCTGTAATCTTCTGTTTTAGTTCAACAATCTCCTTTTTTGCATTTTTACCCTTGTGCCTATTCCAGTTTAGAATAGCTATTCTGCAGTTCCTAATTTTTTGATGCAACTTAAAAAATCTAGATCCCTCCTGCTGTTTTCCCCATTCCCTGGAAACAATCTCTCCCACCTCCTTATTTTTTATCCAATTCCTATCAAAATAGAACCTTTTTTTCCATTTTCTACCCTTAGGCTCAGTGTCAAGCAGCAACATAGCATGATCAGAGGCATCATTTTGTATATGCAGGCACTTAGCCTTTTCATGCTCTGTTCTCCACTGTCTACTGCACAGAATTCTATCCAGACGTTCCTTTACTTCTCTCCCCTCCCAATTGTTTGACCATGTCCAAGGCATCCCTTCAAAGCCAATGTCAATAAGCTGATTAGTGTTAACAAACTCCCTGAAATTTTGAAAACTTCTATCAGACCTCCTACTACCCCCCCACTTCTCATCATTAGATAGGATATCATTCATGTCACCAGCCATCACCCAATTCTGACCCCAAACACTCATCCTTTCTTCTATAATCCCCCACTGTTTCTCTCTAACCAGATCTTCACTACTAGCATATATACAAATCAACCACCACCTATCTCTATTACCAATCCTCTCTATCAACATTTCAATAGTGAAATCAGTATAAAGAATGTCACCAACCTTCAAATCATTCCTCCACATAACAGCCAACCCACCAGCTGTTCCCACAGGATCCACAACAAACAGTCTATCATATCTAAGCTTTAGCCTTACCTTATTCAACACTTCTTTCTTGTTTTTAGTTTCTGATAAGAAAATCAACTCAGGGGAGTGGAGCTTGACACTCTCCTCTATCTGGGGAACTGTCAAGGGGCTCCCAACACCTCGACAGTTCCACACCAGAGCTCTCATTGGGAATTGGGAGCCCCATTAAGGTAGGACTCCACCACCTCAGACACAAGTTCCATCCCAGTCACACTACTCACAATCTTGCCTCTCTTCTGGTTTTCTCCCTGTTCCAAAATATTTTCCTTATCCTCACTCTCCCTCAGCTTCCTTTTACCCCCTTCATTGGCACTGGCTATGTCCCCATTCTTATCCCCCAGAGGTATCCTTCTACTAACCTCACGAACTAACCTCTTCCACCCTCTATTTCCCTTATACTTCCTCCCTCTCATATCTATACTACCAACCTGCTCCTGCTTTCCTGTCACAGGGTCACTCTCCTTATCCCCTCTATCCCTTTCCTTGCTGTCAGTATCGAGTCCATCAATCCACATGGAGTCAAACAGTTCCTTATCACTCATCCCCCGTCTCTGGCTATTCTCCTGTACTTCCTCCTCAGAGATAAAAATCAGACCCTCAGTGACTTTACTCTTCCCCTTAATAACATCTCCCCTCTTTTTTTGCTCAGGCTGCAGGCTCTCCTTCTTAATATCTTCTAAAACCACCCCTTGGTCCCTAACCTTTTTTATTTCTGTCCCCACTGCCACTGGACCCTTCTCCTTAGTTTCCTTACTCCCTTCTACTACTGTATCAACATTAACCTCCACCAGCTTCCAGGGCAGACAGAGCTGCTCCTGCACCCTATCCCCCCACCCCTTAGCCACCTGTGGCCCTTCACCACCCATACTCTCCTCCCTACTGGAAGTATTCTGTTTCCTAATAGGGCTCCTCGCATTACTTGCTCTAAGCCAAGCTCCATACTGATTCTCCTTATCCATATTCACTTCCTTCACTCTACAGCTTTTCTCATTATGCTCCATAACCCCACAACAATAACAAAAATCAGGACATTTCTCATATTTGAATTCTATCCATCTAGTCCTACCCCCTAGCTTAACTGTGGTTCCTCTCAACATTGGCTTAGTTAACTCCATCTCAACCAAAATTTTTAAGTGTTTTCCTTCCTTACCCCCACCATTAGGAATAATCACCTCCTTAACAGAACTGAAAACTCCCCCAATTTTCCTCCCAATGTCCTTAGTAATCCAATGTATAGGTAAATTCCACAGCTGAACCCAAATCCAAGTCCTATTAAAAGCTTCCAAGTTCTGCTCTAACCCCTCCTCCCATGGTAACACTACTAAAGGCAAATTATCATATACCCATGGCCTTCCTCTCAGCACCCTATCCATTTCCTGGTTATTTCTGAAAATAAACTGGAACAAATTAACCCCTAGCTCAACAACTCTCAGGTTTCTGGCGAACGGCCACATATTATTTGTAAAACTCTTTATACCCGCAATGTTCGCAGTCTTCTCCCCCCCCACCCTTCCAATAATGCTCAATTGACATTCAACTACCCCCTGAGCCAAGTCCTTACCATCTAATTCCACTCCCTCAGCCTCCTCCTCTGTCAGAGCAAATTTCCTCAAAATTTCCTCCAAGACCTCAGTCATCCTGAACCACTACCAGTGAAATCCCCAACTGAACACAGACCAAAAGAAACAATACCAGTAACCTGTCCAAACAGAAACAGAAGCAACCAGAAGCAACAAAGACCAACAGCAAAACGGCAACAAAACAAACACTACCGAACACACCACAAAACACAGATAAGGATACTTAGAAAAACAAGACGAAGCAAAACGAAAATGCAAAACAGAAAAGTCACCTATAAGCGGAGACTATAGTTATGGAAGAAAAAGAAGAAGTAGGACATACGAACGAGCTGGAGGATGATAACAATAACGCAACCTCCGCAGAAATCTAGCATTGCGCAGAGTACCGCTCACAGAACCACATCCAAAGAAACAAAGTAGAATTAGGCCGACAAACTCATGATAATCAACTTTTTTCACTGAATTCACCATTGCAGCAACATAGGTGTGGATCGAAAACAAACAAAACTGAGTTAATTTGTTTTGATTTGTATTTTATGTGTTTGCTTGAATAGGAAAGTACGGGAAATTTGAATTTGAAAAAAGCACGTTCAAACACCTACTAAAGGTGAGTTTGGCTCCCCACTTAGAGAGAGAAAGTAACCACCTACAAGAGGGACTTTTTAAGGCTATAGGGTTGGGATCAAAGAAAAATCAAATTGAGGAAGCAAATGTTTGGAAATCAAATTAGGAAAGGAATCTAGGGATTTGGTGTGATTTTGGGGTGGGTTAATTCCAATACAAATCACTAAATTCAGCTCAAGTTAAATGCAAGTTAATAAATGCAATTTTATTCTTTAAAACTAGCTTCGGAATAATTTCCAGTTCTAACTAGACTTGTACGTAATTTTTCAAATCTTTGTTTCTATTAAATTATAAATATGTTGTTTATAGTGCAGGTTTAACTTGCAATTAATATAGATTTTTATGATGTAAATCAAATTATGGTGGACGATCTCCAGTAATTTGTTGATAAAATTTGCATTTTATCAAAACAAAAAAAAAGATAATGAAGTGGTTAGTTGGATAAATTGCTTAGTGGTTTGGTTTTTTTTTTTTTTTGAGTTTGAATATATTAAGAGATGCCATTTACCCACTATCGCCGACAAAATAATTGTGGCTTTAGTTTATTAGTTATTACCTGTGCGTAGTGGTGTACTTCTCTACTATGAGTTAACTTGCAATATTAATTTGACATGCATTTAAACCAGTTATGTGGTTAAAATATATATTACTTCATCATATTTCAAATTCAACTATACTTTTATTCTGCCACGTTATCGATCAATATCTCACAGCTGCTTTTCATCAATTTGTCTTTATGTTTTTGATAAGATTCTACCATGTATCAAATTTTAATAAAATCTAAACACTCCGTTTTTTACAAGTATACAGGTTTTTATCGTGTATAGGGGATATTAGGTGTCGATCCCACAGAAAAGATTATCAATTACCGGTGGTTTTCAAATTTCTTTATTATTTAGACTATCACAAGTGCAAAAAATTAAATCTACACTGCAAAGTGCAAACATGAAATAAAAGTAATAAAAATACTAATAGAAAACTCCTAGAGGTATGAAATTTCTAACTAGTCTTGCAAGTGAAATTAACGGTTAATTGAATGTTATTATTTTGATTAATTATGAAGTAATTTCCTAATGTATGTAAAATTTATTCTCTTAGTGAATCAACTATACTTATAACTAATTCATACATATTTTCGTGACTATGAAATTAACTACAGTTCATTTTTTCTATGAAATTACATGAAACAATCCACTAAATCCACAAAGGTGCATCTCTATTCTTGTAGGTGCATTCCCTAAGTTTAGTGCTTCCTTGAACTAATATTAAATTTCAATTCTGATTGCAAACTTAACACCTTAAAATTATTACAATTAATAGCCAGTTAATCATGATTATATAAGCAAAAGTGATAAATAACTTGTTCAAAATAATATCATCAAATAACCAAATAAATATCACTAACAAGATATAGAAAGTTCATCTATAAACTCTAAGCATAAACTTTAACAAAACATGATAAAATTCAAACTTGTATTATAATTAAGCATGAAATTAAATACAAAAGAGGAAGTGGTAGGAGAGAAGTCACCCTTGTCATTTGAGTTCTAACTCTCCATCTTTGCACCTCAATTCTTCATCTAAATCTAGCTACAAGTTCAAGAAAGATAAATTATACTAACTATATTACACTAATGAACTAAACTAATGAACTAATAAAAGCTAATGAAAACTACATTTTGGTAGTGTTTTTAGCCTTCCAAATTTTGAAACAAGCTTAACAAAAGCCCTATTTATGGAAGAATTAAAGTTCTAAGTAACTTGTTTTTAGTTGGCAAATTTGTCTCTTGAAATCACCAAAAGGTGTTTCTCCAAGTTTTCACACTTTTCTTTACAGCTACAGCTGAAATTTTGAGATGAAGCATGGTTGGAAAATTTGTGTGAATGCAGAACAAGTTGAATTGCAAGTTACTGCTTCGTTTGAAGAATATGCGAGCTACAAAACGTAAGCATGAGGTCGCGTATTACCCCATGTTTTGCCCTTTTCTCATTTCTGATTAGTCTTCAAATTTGCTCTATTTTTGCATCAACTTCAACTGCTATATGATAGAGGCTGAACTAGCCCTTGTGTAAAACACTAAAGCTGTAACTCTTTGAGTTAGTTTTCTAATGCTTCAAAAATCATCTAATTTAAAACTTTATAGACTGATAAATGACCAAAATACCCCTCAACTAGTCAAAACTCTATTTTAGCTTTTGATAACAAAAAATGGTCGAATGTATTTTGACTTTTTGACTAGAAAAACTCATGAATTGGATTTCTATATCTCATAAGAAATGTATAGCTATGTATTAGGTTTAAAATAACTCAAGAATCACCTTAATCCGATACTTGTAATTTAAGATATAATCGAAATATCAATAGGTATCAAAACTGCCAAACCCCCTTTCTTTTGTACTTGATTGCATTTCATCTCTTGAACATTTACACTTCAAATTCTCTTTAAATCCTTTCAAATTATCAACAATCATCCAACTATCTTTTTAATTCATTCTATTTGATAATTGAATCATTGAAACCTACAAAAACATGAATTTTTCACCACTTTAACCCATAGAAATGCAATTTGTTATACTTAGACCATAAAATGCATACTTTCACTAGAAACCTGATCAATTATCTACAAAAATAAATAAAATACACCAAAACTAGATAATCAAACACACTTAAACCACTCAAAATACATACTTATCAGTTATCTTTATTGAAAGTTGATTATGCAAGACAAAGTTCCTTTTATCATTAATCCTATGTTTTATTTAATTTTCCAGTAGAAGAGAGGTAAGATTTAAGAAGCGAGAAGGAAGCGGTAGAAGAGGGAAAGCGGGGGAGGGGAAGAAGGGGAATTTGAACCCAACACCTCTAATTTTTGAGATCTTAACCTAACATTTTTTATTTTATAACATTTCCAAATGCAAAATGTTATTTGTACCTCATTTTCA